ATAGTAGACATGCAGCTGATAATTCTGTAAACAAGGATATTAGTAATGACGATGTCGAAAATAATGGTAGTCCGACTGATGATGATAGCGACGAAGTTTACGATGATGGTAACTAATTAACTTCTTTAAAATAAAAATAATTGTATTTTATTGTTATATGATAATTGCATTATAGTTAAATAATATTAATATTAATTTTATTAAATTCCAGTTCGACCTGACGAAGAAACAGAAAAAGTTGATTTTAACATCTCTCATTACTTTGTCAAGAATAGGAACATATTGATATGTATTGTATGCTCGAAGAAATTCATCAAATGTGGAAATTCTTCTATTCCTAAAAGTGCATTAAAAAATCATTTAAAAAAACACAAAATTAATGTATTATAATTCTTTTATAGTTTAGAATAAAAATATTTTTAAATTGTTTGTACAAAAAGTAATTGAAAATGTATTTTTTTTTCTTGGTTTAAAGTTTAATGCTATTATATTTCCAAAATTTTTTACAAGATTAAATATAAAATAACTTTTGATAATCTTCTGAATTTTGTAAAAAAAAAATGGTTTATTTTCTTTCAGAATTGGATTATCAGGTTTTTCTGGTATTGTCAACGAGTGAGATGTTACTGTGGAGGATGGAGGTTTTCTATTATTCGTAACTGATGACATCAATATTTCATTGGACTTGGGTAAAACGAGTGGTGTTGCTGTTAATAGTTTGATTTTTTTCAGAGTTGTATTATCAGGTTTTTGTGGTATTTTCAACGAGTGAGATGTTACTGTGGAGGATGGAGGTTTTTTATATTTAGTACCTGATATCGTCATTACTTGAGTGAATTTTGGTGAAACAAGTGGTGAGTTTTTAACTGCTTTTTCTTTATTTTTTAGAGACGGATTAGAAAATTTTGTTGGTATTTTGGACGATTGAGACACTTGACACTTTGAAGCTGAAGATTGAGTTGGAAAGAATGGTGAGATATTTATTGGTTCTCTGCTTTTCTTAAAAGGATTGCATGATTTTGGAGGTATCATTTCTTCAACTTCTGTTAATAATTGTTGATAATCTCCTTTGATTTCTTCTTTTTTAGGTATATCTAATTCATGAGGTACCGAATCATCATTTGTAATAAAGTCAATGTCATTTCCAATGATTAATTTTAAAGTAAACAGCAATTCTTCAATCGACTTAGGCATCATTTTTAGGTAAGTAGCTACATCAAATTTTTGATTTTCTTTGCTAATCATTCTTTTTAAATTGTTAACATAATTTAGTCTATCAATAACGTACTGTGGTGTTCTTCTCTTCGGTGGTTTAGCTGTCGTCAGTAATCTTTTATAGTTTATCTCCTCATCTATCAAGATTTTCTCAATTCCATCTAAATATAGGAGAAAAAATTAAAATTATAATAATGAAGCCAAATTATTTGTTATTGAGTTAAAAATTCTTACCGGATAATGTCCAAATACATGGATGTCGTCCACCTAATTTAATTTTGTTGTGGCGATGAAAACTCTCAGCACCATCAGTTGTTAAACTCTCACATTCATAAACGCTCACATGTTTACTATAGCGAAGCCATGTTGTGTGTAGATAACTGAGAAATGATAAAATGTTTGGATCTTCATTTTGCCATCTGTTTTCAGCTACTACGTCTCTTAAGAATTTCTCAGCTTCCTCAAAAAGATATGCTGGCAGTAATGGGACCACTAAACACATCGATAGAAAGCTGTCAGGTACGGAAATTCTGGATTTTACCCAATATTTCACTACCGCCTAAAAAGTATTTAAAATATGTAATATTAAATAGAAATATATAATTAATAAAGTTATTAATTGAAATTAAGTTTTAAAATGTAGTTTTGTTGGAATCAGTATATCAAATGAAATTAAAGTTTTTAACTATCAGTACATTTGTTAATATTTCATAGGCTGTTTAAAATTTAACATTTCATTATAATTGATTTTTTTAAGATTGCATTTTATGTTATTGATGCATTAAATATAACAAATGTAAGAAAATTTAGAAAACCAAAATTTTTGAAGTTATGAAAAATAAATTAAAGACAATATTACAATAACTGTTAATCAGATAGAACTAAGGAAAACTCGAAAATGATAATGAAAAGAACTCACTTGACAGTAATGGAAATAACATCCATGTATTTGAGCGGCTGGAAAATTAAGTCTAAGTGACTTAATCGTCGCACGTTCATAATCTGTTAAAATAATTAAATTTTTATTTTCTTGCAGTTTAGGACATTTTTTCCGGATCCATTCAAACACTGCATTATACAGTTCTGTATTTCTTCGTTCCATAAGGACAACAACAGTAGCAACATACTGGAAATAATAAAAAAAAAAATGCAATAAATAATTTTATGTAAGTAGATATGATTTACTAAAGAATAATATAATGAATAATTACCGTATCATAAAATTTTGCATGGATGGTGTAAATTTAATGCACTTTAGGATTAACTGAGGCATTCTGAAAATTGTACTAATTAATTTTTATTTTTCAGGGGGAACACCACTGTGACGGTCAAAAAAAAGGTGATTTTTGTGAATTTTTTTGACAGGGAAAATAAAAAGAAATTTGAGTATTGGATTTTTTTTTATTAAGGGTACATTAAAGATTATCCGAACAAAAACAGTTTCACTGTAAAAAATTGCGCCAAGTCCACGTTCATAAAACTCATCTCAATAACATTTGCACTTTACAAAAAAAATTAGGCTCGTTTTAATAATTTTCATTCTCTACAAAAAGATGTGAAATACAAAAAAATACCAAGAAACCGTCATAATGTTGAAAAAATTGACAAAAAATTTGTTGAAAATTAAAAAATTAAAAAAAAAATTTTTTATCGTACTTGGCGCGCGTCATTGAGTACCCCAAATTTTTTCGGAAGATTTTCAACCCAAGAAAAAACGATTTTGCTTGTATGTATATAATCATATTATATATTTATATAAAATTACATTAGTCAAGGATACTGAACTCATTGAAATCGTTGCTTAGTGTATTAATTATCAGTTTTAGTGAAAAAACCCGTATATAAAGTTATGACCATAATTAGTATCAAAATTCATAATTTATTTGTATCATTTGCTAAAACTGTTTTCTTGGGTTAAAAATTTTTTCCTGTAAATTTATTGGAAAAATACCGTATGATAATTAAAAAACAGATTTTTTGGAACTGTTTTTATCTTAAAAGTTTT